AATTAATTTTTCAAAAAAATATATAGATATAAAATGAACAAGAAAATTGCAGAATTTTAAAAAGAAAAGAGTAGGTGTGTGTATGTGTGTGTGTCTGCACTCTGCTTGTGTGCACACTGGGGAGCAAAGCCAGGATCTAACATATGATATGCCACCACTCTGACACTGAGTTCCTCCCTGACTTGCAAAGAAAACTTCTACATGCCACTCAAAGCAAGAAAAAAAGTCCACATAAAAATCGAAACCATGGCTTGAGTATATAGAAAAATGTATATTGTTCTTAAATGGAAAGCATGAAATTTTTTGAAATGTCTACTATTTATACATGGATTTATAAGTTCGTTAATTTTGTGTGAAAAATGATTTATGAAAATAGGTTGGCAAATCCTGAAACAGTAATGAGGGAACCTAGCTCTTCTTAAATATATTATAGAGCTAAAGAAGCCAAAAGAATTTGATCCCAGCCAAGGACAAAACACATACTAATGGCTTAAAATAGATTAGATTAACAATACTTCAATGCCTTAAGGCTTTCAGAATATGGTAAAGAGAAGTTTTCCAACAATATGGAAAAGAGTTGATTCAGTCCCTGGGTTGAGACAAGGTAGGCAGTCAGAAAGGAAGAGAGAGTGAAGGGAGGCAAGGAGGGAGGAAATAAGGGAGGCAAAGAAGGCAGTTTGGTGTCTCTCTCATTCTTTAGAATAAGTTCCAGATGTTAGGGCTTAAAGCCATCATCACTAGGACCCAATGTTGGTACTTTGATGACTGATGAGTTGGTTTCATTGGTAAGCCAAGCCTTTTTAAATAAGACACAAAATCTAAAAGACTTACAAGAAAACACTATTAAATTTGAATATTCAAAATGAGAATACACAAACAGAGCCAAGGAACAGACTTAAAAGCAACTGGTATTAATATCTGTGGTTAGATATTAGTCGAAGGGCTAACTTAATTAACATATAAATATCTTTTAACCTGTATTTAGGACAAAGACCAGCAACCCAATAGAAAATTGAGCAGAGTTTGAACATAGAGGTATAGGTAAAGTCATATTTTGTTGATGGAGGTAAAAATTGATACAATCTTTTTGAAGGCCAATTCACACAAATGTATATACACTTCAGCAATTCACTGTTCTAATAAATGTCTGAAAGTTAATAACCACCACTTTGAGCACCTCTTGTAATTGTAGAGGCTAAAGGTAACTTGCATTAATCTCATGATGTCTCAATAAATTTAGTA